GGCCTGCGGGCACTGAATTTGGCCAGCCTGACCTCAATCCTTTTCGAGCTCGAATCGTAATCAATCCAAGAACGCAACTTTACTCCACCGTTCAGAACCAAATTTACCGACGAGACATTGCTTGTTTTCGAAGAAACAAGACTGCCCACATCAACACCGACATGGTTCGAATTCGGGTCCCGAACCTTCTCATCGACCGAGGTATCGTACTCCACCACAAGAAACCGCCTTTCTTTCAAAATCCCGAAACTTCCGGCTGAAAATCTCGACACGAAGTTCGTGGGCACGAGAAGAAAAGCCAGACCGTCACCATTGTGGGGCGATATCGAGAAAGTGAAGTCAGTGGAGAAGGACACGGGATTTCTCGACTTGGAGCTTGAGGTGAAAAGCTTGATGGGCTTTCTCTGGATGATAAATCCGGAGCTCGGGGAGGAAATTCCGGGGTCGGCGAGACGAATGCAGGAGCCATTGTCTTCAAATTTTGCGTCACCAAGGAGAACGAGATTTGAACCCAAATGCGGCTTGCTTGGGAGAGAATAGGAGAAATTGAGAGCTGAAAAAAGGGCTAATGTGAAAATTAGGAAGGAAAATGGACCGGACGAGCGGCAAGAGAATGAGAGGGCACAAGATTGGTACATTTTTCGCGGTATTGAGAGGAACTAGGGTTTGAGTTTCAATGGCTGCTTTCAGATTTTGAGGAAGTCGAGCTAGCCAACTGTTGCAGGCAGCAGACTTTAGTCACATGGTGAAAAGAAAAGAAAAGGGAAAATGAAGGAGATAAAAAAAGGCAGGATGTGTTGGTTAATTACAATAACACCCTCCATTCCAAAAAAGGCCGATGTGTAACTGTGTTGGTGCTTCCCATTTACCCGTTTTTCCCTAATTTCTCAATTGGGAAATTTACATATCTATGTTTGTTATAAGACTTATTTTTAAGGAGAAAGTCCACTTTTGGTCCTTCATGTTTAGGGGTATTCAGACTGAGTCCCTATTATTTTTTGCTGCCCAATTTTAGTCTTTAAAACAAAAAATGTAATCCCTATTATGTTTTGGTGCTCAATTTTAGTCCTTAAAACAAAAAATGCAGTCCCTATTATGTTTTGGTGCCCAATTTTAGTCCTTAAAACAAAAAATGTAGTCCCTATTATGTTTTCGTGCCCAATTTTAGTCCTTAAAACAAATAAATATAGTCCCTATTATGTTTGAGTGCCCAATTTTAGTCCTAAAAATAAAAAAAATGTAGTCCATATTATGTTTTGGTGCCCAATTTTAGTCCTAAAACCAAAAATGTAGTCCCTTAACTTCAATTTATGTGAATTAACGGTCCATTTTTGTTAATAACATCAAAGTAGTTGTGTAAAATAATTTAAAACATCGAAAAGATGTAATCAAATTTCAAAGGAACAAATTATTGAGGCACTGGCCATGGACAAAATTGTCATTTACGCAAACCACCTCTCGAACGAGTTCTTCAAGCAGTTCCCCAACTGCCGGACGTACGACGACCCAGGAGGCTCGTCAGGGAAATGCGCAAGGCACTAGAAAATGAGCCGGACCCACTCACGGACGAGTGGATGAATTGTTGTGTGCAGGGTATGTAATATAAATATATAATTTTATTATTTAATATTTAATAATTAATAATTATGCAATGAATGTATCATGATTTTTATAATCAGGTCAATAATTTGTTCCTTTGAAATTTGATTACATCTTTTCGATGTTTTAAATTATTTTACACAACTACTTTGATGTTATTAACAAAAATGGACCATTAATTCACATAAATTGAGGTTAAGAGACTACTTTTTTTAGTTTTTAGGACTAAAATTGGGCACCAAAACATAATATGGACTACATTTTTTTATTTTTAGGACTAAAGTTGGGCACCCAAACATAATAGAGACTATATTTATTTGTTTTAAGGACTAAAATTGGGCACGAAAACATAATAGGGACTACATTTTTTTGTTTTAAGGACTAAAATTGGGCACCAAAACATAATAGGGACTACATTTTTTGTTTTAAGGACTAAAATTGGGCACCAAAACATAATAGGGACTACATTTTTTTGTTTTAAGGACTAAAATTGGGCAGCAAAAAATAATGGGGACTCAGTCTGGATACGGGTAAAGTCCACTTTTGGTCCTCCATGTTTAGGGGGTATCCAGACTGAGTCCCTATTATGTTTTGGTGTCCAATTTTAGTCCTTAAAACAAAAAATGTAATCCCTATTATGTTTTGGTGCCCAATTTTAGTCCTTAAAACAAAAAATGTAGTCCTTGCTATGTTTTGGTGCCCAATTTTAGTCCTTAAAACAAAAAATTTAGTCCCTATTATGTTTTCGTGCCTAATTTTAGTCCTTAAAACAAAAATATATAGTCCCTATTATGTTTGCTCAATTTTAGTCCTAAAAATAAAAAAATGTAGTCCATATTATGTTTTGGTGCCCAATTTTAGTTCTAAAAACCAAAAAATGTAGTCCTTAACCTCAATTTCTATGAATTAACGGTCCATTTTTGTTAATAACATCAAAGTAGTTGTGTAAAATAATTTAAACATCGAAAAGATGAAATCAAATTTCAAAGGAACAAATTATTGACCTGATCATAAAAATCATGATACATTCATTGCATAATTATTAAATATTAAATATTAAATAATAAAATTATTTATTTAGGACTAAAATTGAGCACCCAAACATAATAGGGACTATATTTTTTTGTTTTAAGGACTAAAGTTGGGCACGAAACATAATAGGGACTATATTTTTTTTTGTTTTAAGGACTAAAATTGGGCACGAAAACATAATAGGGACTACATTTTTTATTTTAAGGACTAAAATTGGGCACCAAAACATAGCAGGGACTACATTTTTTGTTTTAAGGACTAAAATTAGGCACCAAAACATAATAGGGATTACATTTTTTTTTGTTTTAAGGACTAAAATTGGGCACCAAAACATAATAGGGGCTCAGTCTGGATACCCCCTAAACATGGAGGACCAAAAGTGGACTTTTCCCGTCTGGATACCCCCTAAACATGGAGGACCAAAAGTGGACTTTGTCCTATTTTTAATTGATAAAATCTTTTATCAGTCAAAGTACTTTGTGAAAATATATTTTCATCTTTACGGATCTTGTCCTCCATTCCAAATCAGTGGTTGTCATTAAAATATCCGAAACTTACGCAATTACACCCATAATCAATTACCAAATATCTTGGTCATGTGAATCATTCTTTTCCATAATTTCTCCCAAATCACTATGCAAGTTTCATCTTCTCGCGGCGGTTTGTTATGGATTCAGAGGATGAAGGTGAAGTTTTGGCTATGGAGGAGCAGGGTGAAGGCAAAGTGTCGATCGAATTTGGGAAGAAGGGAGAAATGGCACAGGTTAGGGCTTTGTCCGAAAATGCAAGAGAGATGGGGGATTCAACATGTGGAGAGATCACAACCGTGGATTAATGTTGAAGGAGGGATCTGACCGAGGACACGTGGCAGACGTGGGAGGCATCAGAATTTGGGGAGTGTTACCTATTATGTTATTTTCATTTTCTTATTTTGTAGTTTTCCTATTAAGTGAAATTGTAATGTGGATTTTACCCAACTTGGGGAAAAAGCTAATGGGGTCCACAGTTTGTTATTTAACATGGAAAATGAATGGAAAAGAGGCATCTTTCAGTTGTGCAACAAACTCATCTCCCTCACTATTCTCTCTCTATAATTCATCTTCTTCCCTAATCTCTCCTTATCCTCCCTTTCTCCTCTCATCTACAGAAATTACATTAAAATTACACAAAAAACACCAAAAAGATAAAAATACAGCTTGGGTCATAACACGGTTGCACGACGGCGTGTCGAACTCCGGACTCTTGTTTACCACCCGACCGTCGAAGATTTATTCGTTGCACTCATCGAGGAAACCTTCTCCGACGGGTGACCTGTTTAACGAGGTGGTGATTATGGTAACGAGGCGAATGTCGGGGCTCACCTAGGTTAGTTTTTTAATATTTTTTTTTTTTTAGTTACCTTTTTTTTATGTTTTTAGTTCTAGTGAAAACGTATGATTGTTGTTTCTTGATTAGCTGATGCTAAATTTTGAGTCTTGAGCTTGAATCAAGTTTTTGTATTGATTTGTTATAAGTTTGGGTTGTAAAAAGTTGAAGATTTGAGTTTATTGTGTGTTGTTGGTTTGATTTTGTTTGAATTAAGATGCAAAATTTTTTCTTGTTGTTTCAGTAGAGTTTGGTCATCTTGTTGTTGAGAAAAAAAAATGTTTATTTTCAGGAATATATGACCTCGAGTGATATAGCAGCATTAAAATGTCTAGAAACGGCACGAAAAGCTTCAGAAGACGATGGTTATTACAGAAGATTCGCCGACCATTCTGCAGATGCTATGTTTAAATTAAACAGTGAAATAAACGGAAGATAAACTAGAAATAAACAACTTCAGGACAGTTGGAGTAGTGGTCGATGGGTGCATGAATACTAATATTGTGGTCGGTGAAACTTTCAGAGATAAAAGTGTTCATGTGTCTTAATACTTCAATTAAAGCGTGGACACTGATTTGATGTTTGGTCTCAGAAAGCAAATCTTTGTCAAATAAAATCAATATATTCGTCAATGGCTTGTGTGTGTGATAATATTTGTTTATCTACCGTTTATGTTCAGTATAACTTATTATGTTTATGTGTTATCTGAATTTTTTTTTTTGTTTATTTAATTTTTATTTTCTGTATATAAAAATGACAGGGATAAATAAACAAATACAAGTAATATATTCAGTTTACAAAAGCATATATCATGTTTCAAGATATCCGTAATATATACGCAATATATGATGTTTATACGTTAGCAAACATAACTTTTAGGATATAATTTGTTAAACGTACACTTTAACATATGCACACATATATTTTACCATACAATTACGTTAACACCACATTTACTTTATTTAAATAGAAGAGTACCATCCAATGGATTAGAGTACTTTCTGTTTAACTAACGTTATGTTTAATCAATTTTCAAAATTGTTTATATATTGTTTATCTTATGTATAAATATACGGTTAATAATAGAGAATTGTCAGATCATGTTTGTCTAATGTATATATACAGTATATCTAAACATATAGTTGGTGGTTAAACGATTTTTTTTTTTTTTGAATTTAAAATATCGATTAAACCGAATTTTGCTCTACCAAATTTTTTTCTATTCCCAATAGGGATCACAACTTTTTTTTTTTATGAACAACTGGATGGACGATCGTTTTTTCCATAACACATATCACACATAAGCATTATACTCAACATAAATGGTAGATAAACAAAACATTATCACACATAAAGACATTGACGAAGATATCGATTTTGTTTGCCAAGGGCTTGTTAGTGTCATTAACAATGTCTTTTCAGGACTGTTGGTAATGGTTAACGTTGTAGGAATGGTGCTTTTAAGAATGTTAATGGGTATATATATAAATATATTCATTCTAATTCAAATGTTTTTTCTTAATTTATTTTCTGTGATTATACAACATTTATATTCATACTGCAACTTCTCCAAAATTGGACCATGTGATTCATCCTAATTCTAACAATTATTTTTTCGCGATTATTTTCCGTGATTATAAAA